TAGTTTATACAAAATTGCTAAGGGAAGTAACTTAAATAAAAGTTATGCACAATTAGTACAACAGTTGTCTATCTTTTACATTCACTAAAGAGTCTATACTAATTGCAATTAGTGTAAAGTAAAAGCAATTGGAAGGTAAAAATTAATTTGATAAAATATGAGAATTCTGAATGGTAGAAGCTCACAGTAAGGTGTCAGTATTTACACTGTCAGTGACTACCACTGATATCAAATGTTGTTCCTGAGGTTGACAAATACAGACTTGTTTTCCAATCTAAATAAAATCCCTTATCACTAAATAACTCAAAACATGCAAGTCAAATTTTGAGAAATCAGACAAAATTAGTCACTTGATTAAATCCTTCAACAAACTACTTGTCACTTTTGAATGTTCACATCAAAAGAAAATTGAAGCTCTGTTAATCTTTCAAGTAAGTACTTAGTACGCCCTTATCTATGAACGAGCAAATATCCATACACAATGTACAAAGACATTAGACTTCTTCTTTTATATTAAATAGTAAAGTTTCCTTCCTTATATCTATCATATATCAAATAAATAAATATAATCTTTTTATGGCCAAACCTCAAAAAATAATCAGGTTCAAAATAAAAAAAAGTCAACAACCCGTTTTTTGTTTTTTAATCCCCTTCCGAATAGCGGAAAGGGGTTTATAGGATAATGGCCTCAGTCTGTCAGTCCGTCAGAAACACTTTCATGTCCGCTCCAGAACTTTTAAACCGCTGAAAATTTTTGAAATAACTTGGCACAAGTGATCACCATAATGAGACGATGTGCTGAGCGCAGAAATTGGGTTGCTACCCCAAGGTCAAGGTCACACTTAAAGGTAAAATGTTAAAAGTCTTCATTTCATAAAAAAAAAATCTACATTTCTTGTCTGCTCCATAACTTTTAAACCGCTGACATTTTTTTAAAATAACTTGGCACTAGTAATCACCACAATGAGACAATGTGCATAGCACAATAATTGGGTTGCTAACCCCAAAGGTCAAGGTCACACTTAAAGGTCAAATGTTAGAAAGTCTACATTTCATGTCTGCCCAAAATATTTAAACTGCTGCAATGTTTTTAAGATAACTCGACAGAAATGATCACCATTATGACACAATTGACAGAGCACAATAAACAAGTCACAACCCTGAAGGTCAGGGTCACACTCAAAGTTCCAATATAAAACCATCTATTTTTCATGTTCGCTCTATAACTTATTGACAATTCAAAGATTTTGAAATTACTTGGCACAAATGATCCCCACCATGACACAATCAGCAGAGCTCAACATCCAGGTTGCTATCCCAAGGTCAAGGTTATATGTTTTCTCCATAACTTTGACTTTGTGGAAGGTTTTAAATATCTTGGCACAAATAATCACCATCATGAGACTATGTGCTTATGACATGCATGGCACAACATCAAGGTCATGGTTGGCAAAAGGTCAAGAAGTACACATTCATGTTCACTGCAGAAGGGGATTTAGCTGTCCTTCAGACTGCCTTGTTGTTTTATGTTTGTTTTTGTTGTTGTTGTTGTTGTTTGTTTTTTTTTTAAATAAAATAAATATGTAACCAGTTCATGTCATTACAGATATAGCTGGGTAAAATAGCTGTAGTTGGGTAACATATGGCCAGATCATTTAATTACAGATGTAGCTCTACTTGTAAAAAATGGCCAGTTCAAATAACTATCCCGTTAGCTTAGTAGATAGAATATTGGACTGTTGGACCTCGAATCAGTGAACTCAGGTTTGATTCCCAGATGGTGCAGGTCACTTTCATTGTGATTTATCATAAAATCCTTTCTACAGTAATTCACATTGTGTCTCCGCTCTGGCATACAGAAGTTATCAGTTCCTTGCAGAAGTGAAGGCAATTAGTACTAGTAAACTGCTCGACAGTTGTCCAAAAAACAATGTGTTGGCTGAACTGTGCTCTGGTAAATTCTATGCTTACTGCGATGATCCAGACAGTAAACTTCAAACACCACCATCAGGGCAAGTTCATTACAAATCAAACTGGGTAAAGGTTATAGTTATTAAGTATTAAGGTATTCTGCAGAAAACATTATATCAGATTAAAAAAAAACTAAAATTCTCTAAATTTTATCATGTTACACAGAAATGTTAAGAGAGAGATTATGATGTTTTTTTGATCTTACAGATTTTAATTGAAATTCAAAATTGATTAAAAATTCACATAAGAGTTTAAATTTCACCAGTTGGGATCACTTTCTGACAATGTTTTCTATCCCTTACTTGAAGTTGTTTTTTTTTAAACTGTTTGAACACACTGTATCAGTATCAAATTATTATGAAAATCTTGTTCATCAGAGTTCTCTTAAAATTCCAATTAAAATTTTATCTGAGAATAATTCATTTATTCATCTGTTGAAATTAAATTTTTGCTAGGTCTTCGACTAAAATCTTGTATTTAATTAAGTTTCTGCCTTGCATTTATGCACAATTTTGGCTTAATTTGTCAAATTTTGTAAATTTAACACTTCTAATTTTTATGTAACATTACTTTTTTTTTTTAATTTCAAGCAATTTAAAGACATAGTATCTGCTTACACTATCAAAATATACTTTCACTGTCTGCTGAAAAGCATGTCATAATTTTTTTTAACTAATAAATTTCACAAACCCATGACAGAGGAAACATTAGTAATTAAATAGTCAATGGTCATAGTGAGCTTGACCTTACCACATCAAAATCCATATGGGTTATCTACTGGTCATGGGCAATGTCCTACTAAGTTTAACAATACTAAGTTTAACAAACTTAGGTTTATTTTTTCACAAGTTATTTTCAAGATTTTATATAATGTCAATATGGCCCTGACATTTAATCTAACAACCATAAAATCATTAATGGCTAATGTCCCTACTAAGTTACTTAATTACCAGTTGGCTTATTTTTCAAAAGTTATTGATCTGCCCCTAACTACTGTGGGTTCAAGTCCCGACAGGGACTTTGAATTCTTTCATGTGAGGAAGCTATCCAGCTAGCTTACAGAACGTCGGTGCTTCTACACCGGTGCTTGTTCGTGCCTTAAATAATGTGTGGAAGGGCATCTGAGGCATCAGTAAAGCTGGAAAGTCACTATATTACCTACATTGTGTTGGTGTGACATTAAATGGATAAGGATTTTACACAGTGTCAGTATGACCTTGACCTTTGTCTTAATGACCTCAAAATCAATACAGGTCATCTTATATTAGGGTAAAATCTAATGACCTTAAAATCCATAAGGGTCTACTACTGGCTATAGGCAATATCCCTTTTAAGTTTCACAAACTTAGGCTAATCCCTTCTTAAGTTATTGAGTGTAATAATAGTCATAAGGACATTCCATCATAAAACACTCCTCACTTTATAAGTGGAGGCAAAATTATTATTTTTGTGAAGAAAGTACCCAGTAACCTGGGCAAATCTTGCATAACAGCATCTGTATTTTTTCAATTCTCAGAATATTGTCAATAATGTTACAGTCTTTACTATTACCATCTGTGTATGCACAAAATGTGGTCTGGACACTGTTCAAACTGTTTATAATTTATAACATTTTCCCCAACATTTTGATACTGATATCTCTTTAGTTTGGAACTGGTCAAAATTTCCAGCAATGTTTGGTCAAAATTAAATTGTGCAATATAATTGATATGTTTTGAATTTTTTTTTAAAGACATTGCTAAATCAGCAATGTCAATATCTTGAAAATAATAAAAATACAGTAAACAGTGTAAATATTTCAGATTTGAAGTAAATCCACATGAAAGTACACCTGCATACATAATCTGAAGTTAAAGAACGCAGTATGTTCACATTCATGCTATAAGAACAAATAAACACACAAGGACAACACCTGTTTATATGAAATGTTGACTAACAAACCATCAAAGGTAAATACTTTTCCCATACTCATCCCAGCTCTTAAAACATTCTTGGCTACTGTTGTCAAAGGTTTGTCATTATTTTCAAGTACTCTTACACTGATGTCCAGTGGTTAAAATGACTCTCCACAATGACAACGTAGTGACCATCTTTCACACCTTTAACTGTCCACTTTTGACCATTTCACACCTGATAATAAAATAAAAGACACAGTTTATTTTGAAGCACATCAAAATGTCAATATAACTGACATCATAGAAACTTGTGCACTTTTAAGTTTTGCTAACCATACAAGTAAGTCAGATGTAAGTGAAGTTAATTTAATCATACACATTGGTAATGTGAAACAAGCTTTCTTAAACTTATATTTATCATCTAAGAGTCTGTTTTATGAATTTTGTAACACTGGTATCATCAGGAAACATTATTGTGAGAATATTAGAGTTGAAATAAACACAATCTACCTGTTAACATGTAACAATGATGGTGTTACATTGAAGGTGTAACATTTTAGGTGTAACGCTGAAAGTGTCACAATGAAGGTGTAATATTGCAATATTCTAGGATAATGCCCCCAAAAAATTGCCCCCCCCCCTCCCGAATTGCCCCCTATAATGAAAGAGCGGAGAATTGCCCCATCTTGTCAAAAAATAAAATGTAATAGAATGCAATATATTTTATGGCAGAAACTGTTAATATGTTTATAGTAAATTGATGTGTTTTTTCATGCATTTTGTATAATAATGCATTTCGTATAATGCATTATTCAACGGTAAATAGCATCAATTAAGGACACAGCAGTATTTATTAAAGTACAAAGGTGTTAAACACTGTTTACAAAATGAGAATTAATGTGTGCTTACATGTATGTACAATTTACTTGTTGACGATCGGCTTCCGAACTTTTCAAAATTTGTACATCAGGGCAGCGTTTTACTAACATTGCGTAAGTTTTTACGTAAGAATTATCGTAACTTTACGCTTACGTTTAAACTTACGTAAATCGTAAGTGCGTTTCACAAAACTTCCGTAAGTTTTTCCGTAGACTTACGTTAAAATATTTCGTAACTCTTCAAATGGAGGTTTGAGAACTCTTCACTATGGGAGGCGTTGCGGGAATCAATGTCAAAAAACACTGTCGTCTGTCAAAATGGAAACTGTCAACGTCAAACGCGCGAGAAAGTTGAATTGGTCCCAGGCTGTAGTCGATGAACTAAGAAATTCATACTTGGAGTTTCGTAGTGTCATCGATGGACGCCTGGGAGTCACTCTCACTAATTACCAGAAAGAGCAGACATGGAGAAGTATTCAGGAAAGGTAAATGTCTATCAATGTGATTCATCAAACATTTTTTCAGTTGAACAGAGCATAAAAAGTATTTACAGTAGCTCCGTGATTTTGATATGCTTTTGCATGGCCATTAGATCTATTAAACTTAACTGCAGTTCGGAATAAAAGCAAACGTGTTGATTCGCAAAGGCGATTACAAATAAAAAAAGTGGGTGGGGGATGGGGGTAACGGTTTAACTGCATACATGCATGTAATGAAATATCTACACCGAATTTGTATTCGTAAGTAAAATGGGTTCAAGTGACAATGGAATCTCTTATTATTGTCATTTTTATTATGCACATAGATATATGATACAGACACTAGCTATTGTACTTATGTGTATGCAATCAGAATCGATGTCCAAGGATATTTTTACCTAAATTGTAAAAGCCATTTCAGGAAATTTGGTAAAACACTTAATAATAAACTAATCATGTCATGAATATAGTTAATTTTAAACTTTGTTCCTTTGTGATTTTTCATTTACATCCATCTTTTGAAGAAAAAAACACAGACTTTTGAATTGTGTAGGATCAGTTACATGGCCAATGAAATGCCCTGAAATCACTTATGATATTTCTTTATATTTAAAAGATAAATAAAAACAAAATGACAAATTCTTTATTTATTCATTCAAATTATGTATGTCACAGTCTAGAAGCGTTCACTTTTTAGGGGGAATATGTGTAAGTTGTTGAATAGCTGTTGAACAGTATTCCAAAGTACCCGGGTTCAAGTCCATGACACCCTGTGACATATATAAAAATTTAGTACTTGCGGGAAAGGAAATATTGATTTTGAATGATCATTATTTGACATAATATAGAAAATATTGAATTCCTCAACAAGTTTATTTTCAATATTTTTTTGTGTTTCGTCTTGTGGATAAAATTAAAGTTTGTTAAACTTGTCAAACATAATGTTATAGAGGCTAGCTTTACAACAATATCTTGAACTTGTTTCATAAAACTTTATATGACTAATCATGTGACACCAAATATTTCTTAAATGTCAGCATGTTATCATTACTTTTGAAGTTTCCAAAGAGTAGCTGAAATTAGGTCATCACTGAAACAGAGCAGATATAAACATATCAAAGGAAAATACATTACCTTGTTAAATATCAATCAAGTAAAAGATTAGTGTTCCCTTAAACTCTACCTAACTTTAAAGCTAGTTTTAATATAAATCTGCTTCAGTTTTCTGACATGTTATGGACAAGATTTTTGAAATATTTTTGAATGTGCATTTTTATATATTGCAATCAGGATAAATGCACAAAGCAAGGAAACACGGACATTGGACGAAATCAAGAAGAAGCTGTCCGATATGAAAACGGCTATCAAGAAGAAGGAGAGGGAGAGAAGGCAGTTGTCCACCAAGACAGGCGGTGGCCCTGCTCCTATACTTAATGAACAGGATGAGAAGGTAACTATTAAATAATTTTCTAATAGAGATATTTGAAAACTATTTTCTTGCATATGATAAATTGACAAGTACATTTTCATTCCTAGTAATATTTATTGTCAGTCTTATTGATAACAGTGAAATGCTTCAGTAGTGAAAGCATTTTTTTTAAGACTGGATTTGTTTGTTTACAAATATAAATGGGAAAATAAAAGTTACCATAGTTTTCTATCAAATTTAATATGTCACAGGGTGTCATGGACTTGAACCCGGGTACTTTGGAATACTGTTCAACAGCTATTCAACAACTTACACATATTCCCCCTAAAAAGTGAACGCTTCTAGACTGTGACATACATAATTTGAATGAATAAATAAAGAATTTGTCATTTTGTTTTTATTTATCTTTTAAATATAAAGAAATATCATAAGTGATTTCAGGGCATTTCATTGGCCATGTAACTGATCCTACACAATTCAAAAGTCTGTGTTTTTTTCTTCAAAAGATGGATGTAAATGAAAAATCACAAAGGAACAAAGTTTAAAATTAACTATATTCATGACATGATTAGTTTATTATTAAGTGTTTTACCAAATTTCCTGAAATGGCTTTTACAATTTAGGTCAAAATATCCTTGGACATCGATTCTGATTGCATACACTGTACACATAAGTACAATAGTGTCTGTATCATATAGATCCTCTATGTGCATAATAAAAATGACAATTATAAGAGATTCCATTGTGACTTGAACCCATTTTACTTACGAATACAAAATCGGTGTAGATATTTCATTACATGCATGTATGCAGTTAAACCGTTACCGTAACCCCCATCCCCCACCCACTTTTTTATTTGTAATCGCCTTTGTGAATCAACACGTTTGCTTTTATTCCGAACTGCAGTTAAGTTTAATAAATCTAATGGCCATACAAAAGCATATCAAAACCACGGAGCTACTGTAAATACTTTTTATGCTCTGTTCAACTGAAAAAATGTTTGATGAATCACATTGATAGACATTTACCTTTCCTGAATACTTCTCCATGTCTGCTCTTTCTGGTAATTAGTGAGAGTGACTCCCAGGCGTCCATCGATGACACTACGAAACTCCAAGTATGAATTTCTTAGTTCATCGACTTCAGCCTGGGACCAATTCAACTTTCTCGCGCGTTTGACGTTGACAGTTTCCATTTTGACAGACGACAGTGTTTTTTGACATTGATTCCCGCAACGCCTCCCATAGTGAAGAGTTCTCAAACCTCCATTTGAAGAGTTACGAAATATTTTAACGTAAGTCTACGGAAAAACTTACGGAAGTTTTGTGAAACGCACTTACGATTTACGTAAGTTTAAACGTAAGCGTAAAGTTACGATAATTCTTACGTAAAAACTTACGCAATGTTAGTAAAACGCTGCCCAGGGCTTTTACCAATGATGTGAAAATCAATAAAATTTATTAATTTAAAGTTTATAATGTTTCTTGTGCATAAGGGAAACTACTTGAACTAACATGCCAAATGTTTAATTTTGAATAGTCTCCCTTCAATAAATCAATAATGACATTGTATTAAAGGCTTAAAGCAGACTTTGTTCTTCATTCGAAAGTAAATATAAAAGGATGGTCTGAACTGTCTGTATGCTGAATGCCACTGAAGTTAAACCTGTATTGCTGGAAGCTACTATACATGAATACTATTTTAGGCCCCCTTGCAGGTCCAGGGTAGAGCCCTGGTTCAGGTTAAGAGGACAAAGCCTCAGACGTTACTCCACACATCTGGACATATAAATATGTTAAAATATATAGATCTATGTTTTAAAATATTATTCCTACAAAAATAAAAATTTCAAATGTTGCTTTACATTGCTCAGTGTTTTTTTGCCTGTAATCTTGGTAATTCCTATATGTATTTAGATAAAATATGTTAGATCTCTTAACATGTTTTAAAAGTTAACGTAGCACGATATTACATCAAAATATTGAATAATGTATATATTAGAATATATGTTATCAAAGTTTAAATTATCAATGTATAATAAACGCACAACAAAGAAAAATTAAAAAGACTCAATGTTTGCTTTAACTGGTGCAGTTTAATACAGTGCACAGAGGTGACATTTGTGCGTTTTTATTTATCTCGTGCGCACGAGATACCATGTCGTGACCACGAGATACTAAGTCATGCGCACGAGATAATAAAATGGTGCGTCTGAGATATTATGTCGTGTGCACCACAGGGGGCCCACACAGTGTTTGGATGGTATATACTGCTTGATAGTGACCTTAAAATGAGATTTTAATCATAACCTTATAATATGTATATAAATAGTCTATATTTATATACATATTATAAGGTTATGACTAAAATCTCATTTTTAGGTCACTATCAAGCAGTATATACCATCCAAACACTGTGTGGGCCCCCTGTGGTGTGCACGAGTTACTATGTGGTGCGAACGAAATAATTAAGTCTGATGAATATTCAAATAAATATCAATTACCTTTAGCAAGTTTAAATTCTAGAATGTCTTCGTCCCGACATTAATTGAAGATAGACAGATTCTGCCAGGTCATTGACGATTCTATTACAATTGGCGTATCTTAAAAGGGGAGATAACTGTAACATAAAACTAATGTCTGAAAAGCGTCAAAAATGTCAAGATAAAAAGAGTAGTTTTGAAGAAGATAAAGAAGAAAAGATTGAAAACAATAAAATTGGTGGTTTAAAAACAAGGGTGAAACATGTTTAATGCTAGAGTACTGTACAATTTGGTAGGAAATACTACTCCACAACTTTATAAAATAACATATCAAACTGTAGATCATGTAGGTCTGGGACAATATAATGAGGTTATATTGTTGAGTACAAAACTGAATTCTGATGGACGAGTGCACAGCTGCCAAACCTATTTGGACGAGGAGTTAGCCGAGTGTCAGTCTGGTTTAGGGTTTTAAGCTGTATACGAGTCCAGTAGAATCAGTACTGTTCTCAACAACATAGAATGGCCTCTTTATTTCACAAACAGAACAGAAATAAGGAGATAATATGATTTTTTTTAAACTGAAAAAGAAAATAAGGCCTGATCTGTCCCAGGTCCGATGGTGTACATGTACGATATTCATTATTTGTTATAGATATTTTGGACCTTTAAAATGAAAACGAGACTACACAAAACGATATGGTTTGATATGGATTGTTGGACCCTGGAAACGTAAACGAAGCTTGTTTGGGCGAATGGTAACCACGTGGTTCAAACGCTGAAAGTTCATTGGTTATGTTTCAGGAGGTGTGAAATAAATATTTACATCGTCCTTGTCACATTGGGTGATATTTAAAGAGACATGCATAACGTTATTTCCCGTTTTTCGTGAACGTCAACTTACGTCAATTTTGTTAAATTTTTTCTTTCATCTAGGTTAGTAAATCATGTCTGTTGAAAAAACACGCTGGTGACTTAAAATTCACCAGAAATAAACATGCTAAGTGCTTGTAGTAATTTTATTTTATTGAAAGTAAGAACACGTTTTGTCGACAAAAGTCATCAAAATTTTGACAAGCGTCGGTAACAGCAGGGTCACATTAATATGTTTTCTCAAAAATGCAAAACGTGCGTAAAAATTAAAGTGGAACTTACATGCGAACTTTTTATTTCGTTGCCATATATGCAATTGTTTAATTACAGGATATTTGTTTAGGAAATTTCTAAGAATTTCAACATTGTAGTATTGAAGACGGGTGCTTATTTTTCATGTCAACGAATTAAATTTTATGTCCCGCCAAACATAATACCAAAAATAAAATAAAAATTACCCCGAAAAATTTATAATATCATATTCCAATAGCGGTTACACAGTGTTGGTAGGAAATAAATTGATTGTGAGTGGGACGGTTATACCGGTTTTGTTGATAGATAGAACTGATGATGTTGTGAGTGGGACGGGGGGTTTTGTTGATAAATAGGTGCTATGAGTGGGACGGGCATACCCGTTTTGTTAATAAATAGGTGCTATGAGTGGAACGAACATACTCGTTTTGAATATGCATCGAAGGGTTAAGCTGTGTCCAGTTCCTATGATTGCAAATTAAATCGTTTGATTTTGAATCATGTTATATATAATCTAACTTTAATAAGTTCATATTTTACTTTATTTATCAAGAATTCAAAATATAGGTTAAACATGTGATATATACATGTTGTATTAATGAATTAATAATATGATAATGAAACCTTGAGGTACACAAATACAGACATAACAGCTGTGTCATAAAATATATGTATGTACATGTAAATAACTAAACATACATGTAAGTGTCAACCAAGAGCTATTTTTAAAGCAAATCATTGTATGAAATAGTTATGTAAATGATAATAATACCATGATGGCCGATAATCTGATGTGTGTTTACGTAAAGCGCGACATTTTTTATTCAAATGACAAACTGCAGGGTGAATAGGGGCGCTTATCCAATAATGAGGGCACACTTTTTTTTTGAGTTTTTACACATTTCATGTTATATATATATATAAAAAAAAACGTTAGAGGCAGAAACATAAATATTGAAGAAAAAATGTTTTAAGTAGACGTAGCACCAGCAACAGGTGCTGCAGCAGCAGTAGAAGCAGCAGAATTAGCAGTAGCATTAACAGCAGCAGTATTCTAACAGTAGCAACAAGTAGCAGTAGCAAGGTAATAGTAGCAATAGTAACATCAGCAGTGCACGTTAGCAACAATAAAAGTAGAAGCGATAGTGGATAGTTATAATTAGGAAGAAGATTATTTCTATTTATAAGTATAGTGGAAATAGGTGGAAACGTAAACAAGGGTCATATACTTTTGGACAAACAATACAATTCGTTACAGCACTAAAATAATAAAAAAATCACTGCCATAATGACGTATTCGTCAGTTTAAAGATAGAAATGACTCATTCTTAAAGCGTAAAGACTAAGAACAACTGCGCTGATTTTAAGTACCTTAAGAAAGCAAATTTCAGGGAGACAACATGAGTTGACGAATATGATATTATCTATTCAAACGACACTTGACATCTTTTACTTAC